ATATTTCCTTGGGTCATTCCGGTTAAATCTGCCACTTCAGAGACTCCGTGGCCTTTTTTTAGGGTGTAAATCTAGGCTCTTGGGTCACAATATTTCATACTTCCAAAGCTGAATATCCTCCCAGGTTCACTCTCTTCTCTTGGTCTTTATTCCATACCAGCCCACAATATTCCCTAGTAAGACTTATGACAAGCACCACTGCTGCTTTCTTTAGCTCATATATTTAACTGTATAGTGAACAGCCATGATAAAAAGCTACAATCTTTTAGTAACTGAAAGCTAACCTCAGTTTATCCAGAGATCAAAAAGGCATTTTTCAGACCTTAACTTATTTTAGATACCCACAAGAGAGCTTCAGTGAACAAAATTAACTAAGGAAGTGACAATGAGAAACATCAAATGTTAGAGCACTATTTTTTTAGACTTGTATCAGCAGGATGTGTTCATTCAAACCATTCGCCTCCATCCAGGCAAACTTCAGAAAATGTAAACCATAAACTTTTTTCGTATTTTCTATTTTTGCACAACTCACCCTCTCTTCTAGATAAGACTCAACAATGAAAGTTTGTTCTAAGATATTACAAGTCTGCAAACTTTAAATATCTAAGCTATAAACATTTTTCTTAATTTTCCATTTTTGCATTCTGAGCCCCAGACCTGCATTAGAGGGTCACCGAGAAGTAAAAGGGTGACTTGGCACGGTCCTTGGACCAAATGCAACACTCAGCGTGTAAGACATTCTCCCTCCAATGCAGGAGGGACACTGAACTCTGTAATGATGTTAGAAAGGGGAACTGCCAGAAAGACTCTATGAGTCATTGAAATCACAACTGCTTGGGACTGTTTTTCTACTATGTTGAAGATCTTATCCTTAAACTTTCTGTGATCAGTAGACTGCTGTCTGTTCAAGCCAACAGAAAATGAGTCAGGCCATGGAGAGTGTCAGTGGGAAGAGCCCACCATGACATCCCACTCCTTATCCCAGCATCAGGGTTTGACAAGTGGAAACCCAGAGGCTCAGAAAAGGTCAGTTGAATCATCCCTTCGGGACCCATGACTCAGGAAATGTGGTATCCAGGGTAAGTATGGCCAGGAAGCCTAATAACCTCAATGACACCCTTTGTGTCAGCACCCTGACAAGGTGCTTTTACTTCTCAGCCCTAAAAGAAATGGAGCTTGGGGACAAGGCCAGCACACCAACACACATGAGTGTGTCTGCAGTACTGCGGGAGTTGGATCAAAACACTAAGAAACACCGAAGTAGCTGTACAGTGAGAGGGCATGGAAAAAAACACCCATGCTAAAACGGAGGGAAACCTTCTTAGCAACCATTAGGGCAAAAGCATATAATGACAATAGTGGCAGGTTATAGATAAGTAATCTACAGTAAAAGTGGCATTCTTATGTTACTTAATAAATCAGTGAGTGACACACACAAGGTCAATAAAGAGCAACTCCTAAGGACCCTCCCATTAAAAGGCTTTGAGTTCTAAGAGTCTTCCCTGTTCTTCCTAGAAAATTAGTGGATACCTTAAAATGAAATAGAAGTCTGACATCTTCAATTTGACCTGAAAACCTTGAACACAGAGCTCCTTTGAGAGACCGTCAATGTTCCTAAGCTAAATGGGAACCATAAAAAAGGAGCCAGAATCTGGAAGTATAGAAAGCTAAAACAAAAGTACAACCAGAAAAAAATGGTTCCTTACCTAAACTTTATGTGACCTTGAAAGCTCTCTGTAGTATAAATTGTTTGGTTTTCAAATGGGGAAACACTTCTATTTTATTCCTGTGCACGATGCTCACTAACTTCATAAGAGATGTTTTCCATTTAAATTCACTGACCATGAAGATCAGGCCTTTAAAGATTACCTCTGCATTTCATTATCACTACCATATCAAAGCATTTATATTGGCACAATGCTTCAAATGTAAGGTTCTAATTTTCCTACAATTAAGAATTTTCTTAAAGTGTATATCTTCTAGCAATGGACTGCATAGTAACATTCCCTTTTTGTAAGAAGAAAATTTGTTAAGAGAAAATGTAAAACTCTCTGGGTTGTAGTAAAAATTTATTATATGAATGTAAATGTCCAAACCAAAGCTTTCTACAAGGATCTAAGAAAATTCTGTCCCTAAATTGTCCTCCCTGATTATAATCCACTATCCTAATTTCAACTCCCCTTTAAACTGCTGAAATGATAAAAGACTTTAAAAGTTAAGATTTCTGTTTCATAACTTCAAAAATTTTATGGCTATAATGGAGGAACTCCTGAAGTATGTCAACCTCCTTTAATATACTCTTTAATCAGGGGATATTTTAGGAATGCTTTAGGAATATTAAGAAGTACAAAAGAATAATATAAGAAACACCCTCACATACCCATCACTCAGCCTAAAAAGTAAAATGTTTTAAATATTCTTGCAGCTGCATGTAAATCACTCCATGATCCCTCTCTACTTCTTCCCCACTGGTAACTAATATACTGAACTGGGAATTTAGGATGTAAATTCAAGCATATACATTTTTCTTAGATGTGTATGATTGATTTTAAAGTTTCTATAAATGATATTGTACTCTATGTATCCTTCCATTTGCTTATTTTGCTCAACATATTTTATATATGTATACATATATATGTATATGTGTGTGTGTGTGTGTGTGTGTGTGTGTGTGTGTGTGTGTGAGTGATATGACACTTTTATGGAGAGAAACTTAGAGTTCCCTTAGGGCAGTGGTTCTCAACCTTCTGGCCCTTTAAATACAGTTCCTCATGTTGTGACCCAACCATAAAATTATTTTCATTGCTACTTCATAACTGTAATTTTGCTACTGTTATGAATCATACTGTAAATATCTGATATGCAGGATGGTCTTAGGCGACCCCATGAAAGGGTCCTTCAACCGCCAAAGGGGTCGCAACCCACAGGTTGAGAACCGCTGCCTTAGGGTTTATAACTAGGAGTAGATCTGCTAGATCTAGGGTAGGCTACCTGTTAATTTCCTTGATAATGCCCAAATCTTTTAGTGGTCATAAAAATTTCTATCACAACCAGGAGAGGATTAGGACTCCCATTTCTCTAATGTCTTTGCCAACAATTGGCATCGTCAGGCTTAAAAACTTATGTTAATACTAGAGGCCTGGTACACAAAATTCGTGCACAGGGCGGGGGGTTCCTCAGCCTGGCCTGCACCCTCTCCAATCTGGTACCCCTTGGGGGATGTCCAACTGCCTCTCACAATCTGGGACCATTGGCTCCTAACTGCTTGCTTGCCTGCCTGCCTGATTGCCCCTATCCACCTCTGCCTGCTTTCCTAATTGGCACCCAGGATCCAGGCTTCCCTCCCTCTGGCTGGCTGCAGACAACAAGGACCCAGGCCAGCTTCACCCGGGCCGGCCGCAGGCACCCAGGACCGCAGGGCGGACAGCTTGTCCCTCTCCCACAGGTGCAGGCGCAGTCACTGGTGCCCGGGACCACGGGACGGGCAGCTTGTCCTTCTACCAGGCTGCTGCCTTGCTGGTCCCCATTCCTCTCTCCCCAGTGTTGAGTATCTGAGCCTCAACGGCATGACGGCTTGAGGGTATGACAACAATTTGCATATTAGCTCTTTATTATATAGGATAAACAGTATAAAATGGTATATCATTGTTTTAGATTGCAGGTAAAGCATCTTTTTTATATGTTTTAAAAATGTTTATTGGCCATTTGTGATTCTGCTTTTGTGTATGGCCTGCTCATAGCCTATGCCCATCTATAACATTTTTTATTAAATATTTTAGGAGTTATTTATATAGATTCTATATTGGCAACATGCATTGCTCCCTATCTGGGGGTTATTTTTTCACTTTGTTGATATTTCTATTTATC